TTTTTAGTCCCTAATTCTGTGCCTGATCACTCTATGCCCTCTGCAGGAGGACCAGGTTCTGGAAAAGGAACACAGTGCGAGAAGATTGTCCAAAAATATGGCTACACCCACTTGTCCACCGGTGATCTCCTACGAGAAGAGGTCAGCTCCGGCTCGGACAGGGGGAAGAAGCTTTCGGCCATCATGGAGAAAGGAGAGTTGGTCCCTCTGGTGAGTTAGATAGAAGACCTTCTAGATGTTCCTTAACCTTGGAAATCTTCCGTGCTGTTGGCTTCCTTCAACTCCTAGGCTGTCCATAATTCAAAGCCAAGTGAATAGACATCCACACTGCACCACAATCACGGCACTCTTTAGTCTGATCTACATTACAGGCAGTCCTTGACTTCCAACAACCTACTGGCCATTCCAAGTTACAACGGTACTGGGGGGAAAATGACTTAATGTTCTGACCAAGGCTTCCTAAGACACGCTTAATTAAAACAACTCGTTTTATTTCAATGCTAGGAACTATGTTCATTCCCAGCCCGTAATGAGTCCCAAATAGTCTCTCGAGATAAGCACCCACCTTTAACACCTTTGAATGGCTGCCAACAACGAGAGTGCCAAATGAACTGTAAAAAGCCAACCGGAGTACAAAGTCCACACAGAGCTTCAAGGTTGAATCTGAACCGAACGAATGACTTTGCTTCCTGCAAAGGTTTCTCCACCTTTGCCTGCCCTTTATCCCTTATGGGAGGGGCAATCACCTCCAAGACTTACTCCCGAGTTGCCCCTTTTGTTTCAGCTGCTCTTGTCTTCTAGCAGCTCTGTGCATACCCACACTGGGAACAGGCTCCCTTTGTTCCTTTGCCTCGCTGCTGCCAGACTCCAGAGGCTCCGGAGGCAGCACCCCACTCCCAGATGGTCCTGGCCTCATCTCTGCATTGTCCGAGTCCTCCCCAGACTCCCGGACTGGTCCCCGTTCTTCCCCACTGTCCGATTCCACTGCCATCTGCACAGGCTGCTGGCGAAACCACAACACTTATGGTTGTTTTAAACACAACCGTTGCGGCATCCCCGCGATCAAAATTCAGAAGCTTGGAACGGATTCATATTTACGATGGTTGCAGCGGGGGGGGGTGGCATGTGATTTCCCCCCCCCCCCCCACTTTTGTGACCTTCTGACCAGCAAAGGAAATCCAGATTTGCTTAAACAACCTGGTTACTAACTTATCAACTCCCTTCACAACGGAGGTGAGAAAGGTGGTTAAAAACAGGGCAAAATTTCACTTGATGGACGTCTTGCTGAACAACAGAAAATATGGGGCTCTATTGTTTGCACGTTGAGGATTGATTGTTGTGTAAATAAAATCAAGAAAGTCACGTCCACAGTGAGGGAAGGTAGAATATCAGTGAATAATGGAAGAGATGGAGGAAGGGTTAGAAATATCCCATCCGTGGGATATTTCAATGCAATCCAAGCTCCTTTCCCAGTTGTGTGAATCCAGAGCTCTGGAATTCCCCTCCCCGCAAACTTTGCAAAATCGCTCCTTACTCCGATCTCTTCGTCCGCCAGGACACTGTCCTTGACATGCTGAGGGACGCCATGTTGGCCAAAGCAGACCAGTCCAAGGGCTACCTGATTGACGGTTATCCCCGGGAGGTGAACCAAGGCGTGGAATTTGAGAAGAAGGTAAGAACGTGGTGGTGAATCAATCTCTCTCTCTCTCTCTCTCTCTCTCTGTTTCTCTCTCCTCTTCCTCTCTCTCTCTTTCTCTCTCTCTCTCTCTCTCACCTCTTCCTCTCTCTCTCTCTCTCACCTCTTCCTCTTCCTCTCTTCTCTTCCTCTCTCTCTCCCTTTCTCTCTCCTCTTCCTCTCTCTCTTTCTCTCTCCTCTTCCTCTCTCT